TACAGGGCGTCAGTGTTACCAGACCACTCCAGCTTATCATCCAGGTGTACCCCTAAGTACTGGTAGGACTGTACGCCCTCTATATCCTCACCATGGATGGAAACAGGGTTCAGCGGAGACTTATTCCTTCAAAAGTCCAACCCTTTCTAATCTCAGGCTGAGGTTGAAGATGTACTGCAGCACTGAACCCAGTTTGTCCCTGCAGATCTTTAGCATCCTGGAGCTGACACCGTCAGGACCCGCTGCCTTCCCTGCATGGAGTCTCCTCAACTCCCTTCTGACCTGGTCAGCTGTGATGGATAGGCCGAGGGGGGCAGGGGAAGATGGAGTAGGAGTAGGAGGGATCTCATGATGGGGTGACTGAGGACATGAAGAGGGTGTCTGGGGTGAAGACCTGTGAGGTGAATGGACAGTGGCCCTCTCCAGGACTCCCTCACTCTGTTGGCCGCCGGGCAACTTGTATCCGGAGATCTTCCTCATGCCATTCCACACTTCTCTCACATTGCTCTCCATCAGCCTGTCCTCCATTTTCCTCCCATAAGCCTCCTTGCTCTCCCTAACTCTCACCTTTAGCTCCTTCTGCGCTCGCTTCAGCTCCTCTTTGTCACCTGCCCGGAAAGCCCTCTTTTTCCTATTTAGGATGGCCTTCAGATCACTGGTGACCCAGGGTTTATTATTGGAGAAGCAGCACACTTTCCTGGTGGGCACTGCACTGTCAACACAGAAGTTTATGTAGTCAGTGATGCAGTGGGTAAGACCATCAACGTCATCTCCTTAAGGCTCACAGAGTATCTCCCAGTCTGTTGTTTCAAAACAGTCCATAAGTCCATCATTAGCCTCAGCTGACCATCTCCTCACTGTCCTGGTGGTTACTGGTTGCTGTAGGACAATTTAATTACGGGATTAATAGTCTTATCTATCTATATTACATACAGTAAATTTGCACTGCATTTGTCTTAAATACCTCGTCAGGTAACACGTAGGTCTTGCGTAACATGTTTGGTAACCGTTTTTAAAAAAAAATCTAGATTTGGAGTCACCTGCTATAGACTTGCAATTGCGCTTTCCACGGTTTCCATCCCAGCGCAAATCCTCCATTCTGCAAAACTGAAAAAAATAATTCTGCTTTGTTTTAATTGATTTGGTCACGAAAGTCTCAGAATGCGTTCATGATTAACAACACATGTCGTAAACCAGTTTGAACTTTACACCATCTGAACAAACTATTGAATATAAGCAACGATCTCTCCTGGTAAATAACGTTTAATTTGAAGTACGCAGTAATACTGCAATGGGACATGATTATAAACAACTTGGGTTTTCCACTAACTCTGACTTTTTGTGTAGGAATTTGGGATATTTTTAAGTACACTCTTTTAAGGTGTCATGTATAGAATTACGAGTGAACGACACAAAAATGCTATTTTTCTCTGCTAAACCTCGCCTGGATTGATTAATCAAACGGCGTTCAAGCCAATACAGTATTCTTCTCTTTTCTGTCCGCCGCTGTCCTACCGCCCTCAATTGATTATCCAATAGGACAATTGATCAGGACGATCGAAGTTACAACGGCCTATCAGCGGCTGTAGTTTTAGGGGTTTGTGAGGAGGTTCAGTGCGCTTTGTGTTGCGGCGGAAGGGTGAGAGGCCGCACGTTGCGCTTTTACGCACGGCTCCTGCAAGTTTTCTTTCAGTTGTTGAAAAGTAAAATAGTACTTTAGACGCATCTTGTTTAATTTGGCTACATGGGGAGAAATATATTCTAATCGCTCATAGATTCGCTCAGACGTAAGCTGCAGCTCTTTGGGCAGAAGAGAGAAGTGTTTACACGCTGTTTATACCTTTGAGAAAATTCGGAGATTCTCTCCGCTTCGAGTTTATATAGTCTAGTTTCCGGTGCAAGGTTCTCTTCCCACGTGCAGTTTGTGCATGTGTGGGAAGTCGACTTTTTAAAACCTTTTAAGCTTGTGTATTAAAATGATACCATTTAAAATGTGCATTTTTTTGCCAGCGTATTGGCAGGGGTTTGGTTAAATAGTATTCTCGGACTGTTCCGAATCTGGTGTAGAGATGTGTCATTTCTGACGGTAAATTGTCAGTAACAAAAAAAGCAGAACTAAAAACTAGTCTGGCAGCTAAACTACAGCAATGTGACTTGGCTACGGTCGGTTTTCACCGATACTTCCACATTCCTTGAAGGTGAGTAAAGCCAGTGTTGTTCTTGTTTTAAAGTCATGTTATTTATCGTATAAATTCACGAGCGAAATACATCTTTGTTAGGCTATGTTAAATGGTCCAAAAGGAGAGGGTAAATTTCGTAAACAATGTCTAATTATTAACACAGGAGATTACAGGTTAAAAATGTGAGGTTAAGACTACTTCCATTTCGGTATCAGAAGAAGGTTGGTCAAGATGTCGTTGTCAGCGTATCTTAAAAAATAGCTTTATCCCGCGCAGTAGAATTTAGTTTTGCAATAAATAAACTAATAGAAAATATCCCCGCAGATTTATAGAACGGGTAACCGCTTCTTGGCAAATAGTTATTGTCTTTGAATGTGTAGTAGTGCCAAGCTGATAGTTAGTACCGTAAACATTGGGTATTCTATTCTAACTACTAGTATCTGTAATAGTGTGCGTATAAGCACTATTATAATTACGATTTTGTCTCTTGAGTAGTATATCTAAGCCCTTTAAAATACAGTAAAATAAAAATTCGATGATTCTCTGATAACCCAGAAGGGTTTTGAAAATTCAAATTAATGATAGTTCTGTCCTTTGCCGTCGAGATGATACTACAGTAATGTAAGAATTCAATTAAAAGGGATATAAATCGTGAGAGAAAGGTAACCACATATGACAACGAAAAACCGCCGTTTGCCCCAGAATATAGATATTTGCAGGAAAGCATCTGCATTGTTAATAATAATAATAATAATAATAATAAACTTTATTCTATATAGCGCCTTTAAAGGTGGCTTCTCGAAGCGCTTTACAGAATGACAACGGCAACAACAGCAATATAAAATAAACCAAAAATACACGATATACATAGAGGAGACTGTAGATGGTGGTACTCAATACAGTAGGAGCAGAGGGGTAAAGAACAGGACCAGTTAAGGATAAAATGAGAACAGGTGAGATTTTCATATTTAAAAAAATTCCATTAAATTTCAAGTTGTGACAAATTGTTTTGTAATGTAAAAAATATAACCTATAACCGATAACCTTAATTACCAAAACTTTTCCTTCAGAGGGGAATACACTCTGTTTTTGAAAGGAACCCATATCTACACTTAGGTGCAGTATGTGATTATAGCACATCAGAGGGTGGAACGGACTGTAAAGAGATTTTGCTTGTAGGCCACAGAAGACTGTGCAACACGCACTAGTTTCCCAGCACACCTCCCTTCCTGTCAGTTTGGAGAATAGAACACTGGATGTTATTTGTTGGAAAGCCGAAGCCATATGAAAATGGACAAGAATTCACAATCATGGATAGCTGGATGGATATGCAGTATATATTTCTTATATCAGCAGATTGCAGTCACCGGTAGGGTTAGGATGAGTTCCAGTTTTTCCATTTCAATTCCTCTTTTCACATCTAGTGGCTAGGATTCTTGATTTTTTTCATCCAGTCAGTTGAGGCCTGACCGCAGCTGTAGGAAAGGATATACAATCTTTTGCTAGATGATCTGAGTAGCTGCCTCTGGTTTGCCACTGTTTTTACAGGTTTGAAGAGGGAACTGCAGATGTGAAATGGATCACCAGCCCCTTTGTCGGCAATAAACAAAGAAGCAGACTTGGGTGGTAGTACACAACCCAAGGTTACAGACAGTCTTTGTACACAAGACTTTCTCCGGTTTGGTTTCCTCACAAATCTGTCAGGGGAATTACTTGAGTGGACTAAATCAAAACAAAGAAGTATCCTGTGCCACCAATCAGCTGTTTTAATGTCTAGCTTGTACATTAATCCAGTGTTGACTTAACGAGTCCACTTCAGCTGGCTGTCATAAACGCTACATATATATTCATGCACCTAGGCAACAAAGTGATTTTAAAATCTGATGGATAGGGATTTGTCTTAGGCAATTTTAAGCTTTGGTTTCCCCTATTAAGACTGTTCTCAGTCTGCTGAACAGCAGTTGGTAAACATGTTTACAGCTAATTTAGTATTTTTTTTTCAGTCTGTTAATTGAATTAACTAGCTGAAGCTCACAGAGATAGTATAGAAAAGACAGGAGAATCCCATTGTTCTCATGCTACAGACAAAGCAAGGGTGCCTTGTTTTTTAATTATAGTTTTAGTATTTCAAGGTATTTTCAAGAAATTCTGTCTTGAGAGAAAAGGGTGCTTAATCATTTGCAGAGAATTGGTGACTGAAATTAGATGTGTGAGCAACAAGTTCGGGATCCTTTGTTGCTGCTCAAGAACAGGTTCTATTCACAGTTGCGCACAGTCTGGCATGGAGCACTGGGTGGAGGATGAGCAGGCCCCACCCCCTGGCATCGGGCAGGGCGGAGTGTGGGCAGGCCCTGCCCCCTGGGTTCGAGTAGGGCGGAGCGTGGGCAGGCCCCGCCCCCTGGGGGGTCGAGCAGGGCCAGGGGCGGGCTAGCTCTGTATCACAGTGTGCAGTCTGGTGTTGAGCAGGGCAGGGGACAGGCAGGCTCTGTATCATGGTTTGTAGTCTGGTGTTGAGCATACTGACAAGCCTTGAATCAGCAGATCTCTGCTTTAGAGCTGGAGTAGATCAGTCCATGCCTTATACAACAGCAGGAGAGCCTTTAAGTCCCTGCATCTCTAATGCAAATTCTGATTGGAGGTCAGTTTTTTGTTTGGCAGGGAAAGTGGCTTTAAAATACAGTGCGTTGTGCTGCCTTCTGCTCATCAGTGCTAGGTTTGTTGTGACCTTGCCATTTTATGCTGTAGGTGTAACTTAAGAAGTAAAGACAATCTGTTTAACCATTGGATCAATATCAGCCTTCAGTAAGTTGCCAAATAGGCATTTAAACATGTTATTTGCTTTGTAAAGAGAACTGACGATATTTATAGATCTATACCATTAGGTCTGGCTGCCCCATCTCGTGTTTTATTGTTAATTTGTTTGCATCTCTTACATGTGAAGCAGTACTTTCCACTTTGCACACTGCCACATGAGTCCAGGAGGTCCAAGATTAGGTCTGGGGAACTGGCGACTGCTTATCGCAAATCTTTTTCTTGACTTTGTAAGGTTAGATTACTTCTGACCTCCTTCGAGGTGAGGTTATCTGGGTGAGCAAGGACAAACTCCTGAACCCTGTGACATGGGTTTCCAAATGTTTTTTTTTTAAGCAGACTGTTGTGAAAAGTAAAAAAAACAAACAAACAACACCTTCCAAAATGCAATGCTTAGTGTACATTGGCACCTTCGGATTAATACCCATCTGTCTGAATGCACATTTCTATATATCATCCATAGTTCGGTCAGGGGGATTGTGAAGACCCAGTAGCTATCTCAGTTATAAGGCTTGTTTTATAAAGTATCTCAGTTAAATTTTAGGTACTATGTACTAGTCAGTTACGTCCATTGTCAGGAAAGAGGAAAAGTGTGGCAGTTATTCCAATAAACCCATATAGTTTTAGTTTGGCCTCTCACTGTGGGCAGGTAAATACATGCTGTATTATACTGACCCAAGAAGGTATGACCCTGGACAGGAGGATCCTTCAGATTTGTGGGTTTCCTTTCAAACTGAGCAACTGATTCCATCAGTTGAGCTGCTTGCGTGATCAGATTGTTGCTGTGCAGTCATTGTTTTTAGGAATACTGCCGAGCAGGTGTTTTCAATAGCAAATCCATCCATTTTTTTAATTTGTAGCCACCCTATCCGGTAAAGGGTTGCAGGGGAGCTGGGTGCCCATGTTGACAAGTGGAAGGGATCCGTCAGAGGGCAGCCAGACGCAAACACACTCCCACCGTGGCCAGGTTTCGCAGAAGCCAGATAAACGACCAGTATTCCTTAGGACTGTGGGAGAAAATAGGACCACCTGGAGGAAACTCCAACAAACGAGGGGGGGCATACAAACTCCAAATAGACAGCACACCAGTAATTGAGCAAGGCATTATTGTTAACCACTATGCTGCCCCCAATAGCAAACATGTTTTATTCTTAAGTGGTTGTTTCCTTATATCTAAGTACCTCTTATAAGTTAGCTGATGATGAACACTCAAGAAATAAGCACTTAATTCTGCACATGGCCCAATTTCTTAGGCACTAGCCAGCAGAATATTGATATTGATATTAACTGTATAACTGCTAACTGCCCGTCCAGCATTCTAAGCATTTAAAATTGCTCAGAGCACTGGAGTTTGCCCAACCCGATCTTGTTTGTGAGCAGCAGTCCCAGGGGAGTAAATGTGACAACGACATCCATGGCTCAACATGAGGTGAACAAACCTTTGTGTCTTGATTCTGTTTCATTGCTATTCAAAACCTGAAATGGATCGATCTACTACACAATCAAAGCCATCCAAGTTGTTCTGGAATCACAAAACAAGAGAGGAATGCATAGAAAAATTCATTCAGAAAAAATGAAAAGTATTTCAATAAATTGCACAGTCTTAAGGTCCCATGTTATGCATATTTAGCACAGGACAGTTATTTCTGTTTTCCTCACGAAAGCTTCCAGAAATGCTGAGACATTTTCCCACAAGCTCAGTTTCTGTTAACAAGCCCAGCGGAACATATAAGAAGATTCCCATGGAGGGAACAAGCAGGTCAGGTCTTGTTCCGTAAGTTTCTGTGTCATAAGGCGATGTACCCATGAGTGCAAAAATATCTCCTCTGCAGAAGCAGCACTGACACCATGTCTAGTCATTAGTGTCTGGATCTTAAAATAAGATGGAAGTTCAATGAAGCTTGTGAACTGTATATTACATTTTTTGCAACACCTTTCATCCCAAAGGGTGCCAGAGCTGTAAAGTCGAAGGCATTAATGCCATGATCTTGGAACTTAAGAGTCCTGTGAGATAAATTTGTGGATTGCTGGCTTAGGGGAATGAGAGCACAGTATGTGTAGACAGAGCTAATCAACATCAAGCCCTTAGTAAAGTAGTGAGTAATCTTTTCTCAGCTACTTTGTCTCAAGGCTTACATCTGTCACAAGTGTGACAGCTACAGAAGCTGCAATTCGCTGTTTTGTGTTGTTTTTGTAACGTATGTGGATAGTGCACCAGTTTACCCCAGGAACTTATGGGGAAAGACTTAGTGCCAGGGTAGGTGCTGGCAAGTTCCACTGTCTCTCTGATATGCTCTGATTGTGTTGTTTAATATTCCATGTTTTGGTCTAGATAACAAGCTGAATAGAGGGCACCAGAGAAAACTGCATAGAACTCCATTTCAGACAAAGAGCAGGAGGCACGTCTTTACACAAAGGGTTGTGGGGGCATGGGATAAGCCATGTGATTAAAGTGCCTTCTCATTCAGCCACTGCTTGAAAGATCCTGGGACCGAATGACAACTACAGACCGACTGGGATAGATGAGTCGAATGACCTCCCATCTTTAACTTTTATGTCCTTATGAATAACCAGTGGCCATTTGTGCATTTTCCCGGTAATGAACTGTAATATGTAATAATAAGCTGTACTGGAGATGTAGGGTTCTTTAGGTAATCCTGTGACCGTGTTTCTTGTAACATGGTGTTGGTCTTGTTTCGATTCTTGTTTGCAAGTCAGATGTGGTCTGTGAGGCTGAGATTCACTGTGAACATGATGAAGAGAAACTAGAATTCCGAAAGGACCTTAAGTGTATTTAACTATATATGCTCCTCCCTGTCCATCCTTTATGTTCAGTAATTGCATAATCATAGCCTATCCTGGGAGACAATGGGCACAAGACAGTGTTCACCCTGGCCTGGATGCCAGTCCATTGCAGGACGCAAAGATACACGCATACAAGAGAACTTCATATAGATGGCATGTCTGTGTACCTGCAGCAACTCCGAGTGGCCATTGTGATAACATGCAAACTCCGCATAGAAGGTTGGACTTGAACCCAGGATCCCCAAACCGAGGCTACGGAGCCACCAAACACACTGCTTGCATACATGTCATTTGGAAAAAATACTCTACTCGGCGTCACTTATTCTTTCAGTTTTGAATCTCAGTGATGTTGAGTTATAGCCCGGTGATGCAGTGCGTTTGTCTTAATAGATCAATTGAATCCCCTTCAGGACTCGTGGTTCCCTGCCGGCTGATGCCTGAAAGGTGAGGTGTCGCTCAGCCTCTATGATGTTAAATGACAGCGCTTCTCACAGGCTGCATCTGTGCAGGATTAGGGCGACTACTATTTGGAAAATTAAGAAAAACAGCCGTGCACTGCAAGTGTCAAGACAAGTTGCTCCTGGGAGTGATGGGTTGAGACATTTTTACATCCAAGCAAGCCCAGCATGCAGAAGGTCAAGGTGGAGTGAAAGCCTGAATATAAACTGTTTCAGAAAGTCCTCTGTGGCTTAGTCCTGTTTTTTTTTTTTCATTTTTACATATGAATTAAGTGAAAGTGGATTTTTAGCATTTTTGTAGCAGTGTAGCTGAACAAAATAGCTCTTAAAAATAAGTTAAAAATTGTTAGCCTTCATGTTTTATCACAATTTGGGCATTGTTTCATAATGGTGTTTCTGCCATTCAAACAGTGGCCATCAGTCTTCTTTCACAAATAGGCTTCAAAACCCTGTGTGACATAACCATGTTTACGAATGGGCTGTTAATTACAAAACTCAATCAAAACCAGGAGATGAAATGACCACTAGGAAGATGTATCTGATGATGCCACTGTGATGTCTGACTTCACACTGTGAGATTGTGAGTGCTGTGAAGTGTTAAAAAGCTCAGACTGGTGAAGCACCACCAGTGGGGGTTGTAGCTGAAAAAGTGCGGTCACATGCTGGCCGAGTGATTGTTTTGACACTGGCCTGAGTCACACCGTCAGCAGCAAAATGTGCACACGCACACACAGGCTGGTTTATCCCCCCCCCCCCGAACCCATTAGGGGTAACCTTTGGCTCCGGTACTTCCCCTTTTATACATGTTGATAAAAGGCAGGGAGTGTGGAGGTTATTTAACACAGGGAGGACTGGCCTGAAGGGCTGAAGGTGAAAAAAGAGCTGAAGGGAACCCAGACTGCAGAAAGTAAGTTCCTTCCTGCCGCACTGTTTTACAGAGACATGTAAAACAGAGAGATGTCCACCAGCTGTTCCTGGGGTTGACTGAATTTTGTGGCTTGGATAAGAACTCCTTCAGTGTGATGGCTTTGGTGTGGCAACAGGGGTACCGTTTTGATTGATTTTGAGTCCAGTATTGAAAAGCATTCCCTGTGGGTTCTGTAGAAGCGGTGTATTTTTCCATTAAAACATTATACATGTTTATAGATTTTTTGTCCACTGCATGCACTGTTTTATTTCCACTGAGGGTGGTTCTTTTCTGGCTGAAATCTATTGCTTCCAGATTAGGACAGGAGGTGTCTTTGAGCTTGACATTGTGCTTTAACACTTGAGTTAGAGTGATGTTGTAAGAGCTCATCTCTGTGATTCATTGCGGATTTTTTGGAATTCTGTGGTCCATTGTTATTGAGTTAGGTATGAGAAAGCATTTTATTAGGAATCTTGTGTGTCCATTATAGAAATGGAGAAAGGGTGAAGTATTACTCTGGTAACTATGCAGGTGCTACAAGTACTTCATTGCATTTAAAGACCTGTTTTGCCTCTCCTGAATTTTTTGGCACTTTCCTCATTAATTTAAGCTTTAGGTTAACACTTTAATGTGGAGACAAAGAACCACATATAAGTAAATTGGGTAATTTTATAGTGGGGATTTTTTTTTTAGATGGGACATTTTAAGGCAGTCACAAACCTGCAACACAGATGGAGAATAAAGCTTCCATTTGCGTCCAATCTGAATCCTTTTTTTCTACCACAATGCTTGGTGTTCCATCTTTAATACTTTATTAAATGTCATGTACGACAGCCGATTATGCTGTTTGCTTAAATCATTAGAATCATTTGGCTTTCACATTTCTTTCAATAGGAGTATTTGCCATTTTACAGTGGTGGGGCATTCAGTGTTGCTGTCTCTATTTCTTTGTCTCTGGACTCATTTCCAGTCTGTGTGGAGCTTGCATGTTGCCCCCAAGATTTAGACTGAATTTCCTTTGTTTGCATGTCAGCCTTGAGGTGAACTGGCATGCCATCCTTGGTGGACTCTTGCCTTGTGCCCTGTGCTTCTGCGACAGGGTCTGTTTAGCTATGACCCTCGTCCGGATTATCAGGATGTCTGATAATGGGTTTCATTTCATTTTGACAGTTTTTCTGTTGCTGGTAACTAGGTGAGAGGTTGATAGAATGGGAAGACAGTAACTTTGCTGTACTTTACAAAAGATTTCATTTAGGACTGAGTAGAATATTGTTTACACAAAGAGTTGTGGGTGCCTGGAAAGGCCCATGCTTTCGGCTCTCTTTAAAGGGATGAATGAGATTCCTATTTATTTAGTAGGTTAGCAAAGCTGGCCTCCTCTCACTTGCAGCTTATCTTTTTTGTCAGATGGCAAGTTTAGTATGTGACTAAGTGGATGTACTGTGATAGCTAACCAATTTTACTGACACAGAGTTGGAGGAGTTTCCTAGACTTCTTTCACACTTGGCAAGTGGCAAAAGTCACTTGACCTTTAACTTCAGTCGAGATTCGATTGGATGTTTTCCACCCTGGCTAGACAGCGTGGCAATACGACTTGTGTGATTTCACAGTGGAAGTGAGACATTGGTAGAGCAATTTCCATAGATTTAATTGAATTAATCAGCATATGGGAGTGTGTTATCTTTAACTGCAAAATGTTACACTGGGGCAAGAAAAAGCTTTTTCTGGAAACTTTGCTTATAAACTTTAAGCTTGAAATCTCACAAGAGGCAATGTACTTGGGGAAAAAGACAGCATAACATAGACATGGTTTTCCAAAATAAATACCAGTAGAGAGAGACAGATACAGTTTAGAGCTGGTGCAAAAAGTCGAGGCTAACACACTGTAATTGTTCCAATATGTTCAGCAGCCTACTGCTTATGTCTTTGAAATAGTTTGTGCCAAGTTGGTCAACAAGCAAGAATATCTTCAGTATGAGGAAGTGCTAGGGGATTGCTTATCAGAGGTGCCTCAGCCTTTTCCTGTTGGCTCATGTGTTCGTTAGGATTGCGTATTTGCAAGGCTTCCTTCAGGTACTGTGTGTCCTTCTGCCTCCTGCAGAGGCTGGGGCTCCCATTGCAGAGCAGCCAGATCCATTTCAGGTTTTACTGGTTGGTTGAAATATCCAGCTCCTGATGTTGGTTTCAAATAAGGCAAGACGTGAAATGGATCAGACTGCTGCGCAGTGGGAGTCGGTTTTTCCATTCTCCGTTTCCTCAGCAGGCTCTCGTCTGGTTTCCCAGATGGCGGCACCCTTGCTTCTGCTCTCCGCCATGCTGTCCACACTTCCCATGGTGCTCTGCTTCCCCAGTCCCTACATGGACCATGACCATCATGATCGTAAGTCCATTCCCAGCTCCTTTCAGACCCTTATACGCCCATACTAGTACATAACTCTCGTCTTGGGCTGTCAGAATAGATGGAGTTAATGCACAAACTCCTTCCACACGTCAAATATCAAGGCCCGAGGGCCTGGTCTTGGAAGATGGGTAATGCTGGGAACATATGGGCTTTGACTAGTGCTTTATTTATGCCGGAAATGTTAAACCATGCTCATTATAATACTGATCCCATCATGAACAATGCTGGATCAATGTCATTAGACCTGGGTGGGCCTTTTGGTTTTGTGCAGGATGGCCCTGCTGCCTCCTGGCTCCAGGATTCAGGGTTGGTTCATGCCAGGCTGGGGCATCTTTTGTGTGGTTTGTTTGTCCTCCAAGCCCTCCCCGATCCCATGGGATCAGCCCAGGTGATCTGGATTTCTCCCACCTCCTCCAGGACGTGCGTAGCTGAACAACCCGACAGTTTAAGGGCCCTGTCCGGGGGAGGGGCAAGAGTGTCCCTCCTCGTGAATCTGCCCTGTCTGGGGTAGCTCTGCTACAGTGTTCCCTCCAGCAGTGGAGCGTTCACTCCAGTGTAGATGAAGGATCAGGGATAAAGCTTTGGTCAGAAAGGAGGAATGTTTAATGGGTCTGAGTATGGTTATCCCAATAAGTTTCCCAATAAGTTAAGTTTCATTGGCCTAACGTGGGAATCCGTGTCCCAGCTACCAAAAGAAAAACTAAGGGGAGACTCACACTGTGTTTAGTGCTTACAATAAGTGTGAAGGTTTTGTGTGAAGCTGCTTGGGACACAAGTTTTTGTCAAAAGTGAGAGAATATATACATGTCCAAACCTGAAGGTCTGCATTCACTTTAGGTGTCTGATAGACCCAAGGCCTGATTCTTGATGGGTGAAGTATTTGCTTAGTTGGTGCAGGCCGGCATCTCCTAGGCCTCACTCTGCAGTAATTTAAAGCCCCTGTTAAATCGACAGTGCCAGAGTCGTAGACATCTGGCCTCACATTTGATGTTCCTTCTCCCAGCAAACAGGACATCTGCGTCCATCCGGTTTCTCGTGGTGGGCGACTGGGGGGGCCTGCCCAACCCCCCCTACATGACGCCCATCGAGAAGGCGACGGCCCACGAGATGGGCAAGGCGGCCAAGCACATGGGCGCGGACTTCATCCTGGCGGTGGGAGACAACTTCTACTACCGCGGTGTGAACAGTGTGCGGGACCCGCGCTTCCAGGTAAATGTGCAGCAAACCCTTTTCTCCCTTTCCTCCTCGGAGTTTTACTGGCAGAGCTCGTGTGTCCCATTTTTTCTGCAACCTCTGTTCCCAGTTTATGGGACCATTTTTTTTCCTAGCCAGTGACAGCGAAGATGCTTTTGCGGCTCAACTCGTTTCGAAAACTAGGCGCGCGGGTGCCAATGTTTTTAATGCCAAGATGTACGCACCAGCTGAGAGGCTTCTAAACAAGTCAATATTTTATTTGTTGAGCTGGAGAAAACCCCATTTATATCCACAAATCTGCTTGGAAGGAAACTGAGAGAGCTGTTATGCTTTCAGATTTTGTTCTCTTTCATACTATGTGCTTTTTGCCATACAAAGCATTCCTGGTCAGCCATAGAGATGCCTGGAAAACCTGCCAAGTTGTGCTATTAATGGCAGCATGGTGATGCAGTTGTTAGCATTGCTGCCTCACAGTGCTGGGGCCCTTCCATTCCCAGGGTGCTGTCTGTGTGGAGTTTGCATGTTCTCCAAGCATTCTTGTGGGTTTTCTCCAACTGTCCAAAGACATGCTAGTAGGTTAATTGGCTTCTGGGAAAATTGGTGCTGGTGCAAGTTTGTGTTTGTGTGTGTCTATGCTCCAGAAGGACTGCTGTCCCATCCAGGGTGTATCCTGCTGGGATAGGATCCAGCTGCTCCATGATCCTGAATTGGATGAAGCAGTTGAAGAACTGTTAAAGAAGAATGGATGTACCAATTATACCGATACGTGGTGCTATTTAGTCCTTGGTTGTTCAGCTAATGGAAAATATTGATTATACCAAAGAAGCTGTTTCTCCACTGAAGCCCACAGAGTGCTGTCCCAGGCTGCCCTGACCCTTGCCCTTTCTGCCGGCAGGAGACTTTTGAGCGGGTGTTCACCGCAGAATCCTTGGAGCACACGCCCTGGTACGTCATTGCTGGGAACCACGACCACCTTGGGAACGTGGAGGCTCAGATCGAATACAGCCGGCACTCGAAGAGATGGTAAGCCCAGCTGGCTCTCTCCAGGCGACGTAGAAACCTTTTAGAAACCAGCCACTACAGCATCTTGACCTGTTGTGTAAGTTCTGCAGTTTGCTGATGGACGCTGTATGAGGTGGTCCTGTAGAAATAGTGGTGTTTGCAGAATGAGATGGTGACTCAGGTTCACGCATGAAAAAGGTTAAAGCTAGCATGGTTTTTGCAGAGGTAGAAGGATTTAGGAAACCTGTCACGGGCCAATCCAGTTACACAGAGTCAGTGTCAGTGGGGCACACAGGACAGACCAGCATTTGGGCCTGACCTTGAGCGGGGTGGGAGTGGGAGGGCAATTCTTAGACCCTGCCCCCTGAACAAAAATGCAGGAAGACACAGGATAACAATAATTAACTTATTGGGCCCAGGTAAAACAAAACAAAACAACTGTACAGACCAAAAAACTAGTGCAGCCTAAAACCCTGCAGTTTCTTCATTCCTTCATTCATTGAGATTCTTAAGGGTATTCCACCTCCCCTTTGAGCTGCTGCTGTGATTTTGCTCAAGGTGAGCGACAGCCTGCAAACGATTCACTCCTCCCCCTTTTCAAGCCCAGATGGACTACTACAATAGGCTCCAAAGTCACCTAGTAGATGAAATCTTCTGTTTGTGTATTGATGAAAACCCAGAAAACAGGACCATTTTCCACTATTGGGACCATGATCTCTTTGGATTAGGTTTCACAAACCGGGCACTTTTTCCCTCGGAGGTACAGTGTTCTGATCTCAGGCCCGCTCTCTTCCGTTAGGAATTTCCGTTATTACTACTACGATCTGCACTTCCGTGTGCCGCACTCGGACGCCACGCTGACCATCCTCATGCTGGACACCATCCTGCTGTGCGGGAACTCGCACGACTACCTGGACGAGCGTCCCCGGGGCGCCTCCGACAGCCTGATGGCCAACCAGCAGCTGCAGTGGCTGGCCAAACAGCTGGAGACCTCCCGGGCCGACTTCCTGCTGGTGGCCGGCCACTACCCGGTGTGGTCAGTGTCCGATCACGGCCCCACCGAGTGCCTGCTGGACAACGTGCGCCCCCTGCTGCTCAAGTACAATGCCACCGCCTACCTCTGCGGCCACGACCACAATCTCCAGGTGGGCGGTCTGCCTGGGCTTTCTGGATTTTGGTTTTATGGTGGTAAAACTTCGGCTGCGATTTTGAGAACCTGAGATATGTTACAAACAAGGTCATTCAGGCTTGCTTGGGTGGTTAAAGGTTAATAACCTCAAAATGTTATCTGTCTGTTTCTAAAAAGAAACCCGTGGAGTTGGTTTCGATCACATGACTTGGGAGTTTGTTGCACACTCCCACAATCCTCTGTGTAAAGAAGTCTGCTTTTTTTCTGTCTTGAGATGTTAGTGAAGCTCTGCACGTGTTTAAAGAGACACTCAGGAATCTTAGTATGTGTAACAAGTTAGTATAAGTTTCTGCTGGTTTTAAGTTAACATTTAGTCTCCGCACTAATTATAGGCTTCTTTCACACATCTTGGGTCTCCTAAACTAGTTGAGTGTCTGCTGCAACCCATGTATTAAATCACAGACTTCTCACTTCAAATTATTATTAACTTAGTTATCATTTAGCATTTTTTCTGGACACTCCACTCAAACCGCTTTACAGGCAATGGGGACTCCCCTCCACCACCACCAATCTGCAGCCCCACCTGGATGATGCGACAGCAGCCATAGTGCGCCAGTACACTCTCCATGCATCAGCTATCAGTGGGGAGAAGAGCAAAGTGAAGCCAATTTCTAGATGGGGTTTATTAGGAGGCCATGATTGGTAAAGGCCAGGAGGAAATTTGGTCAGGATGCAGGGGTAATACCCCTAACCCTATCTTTTTGAGTTTTAATCAAATTATGGGATTTTTAATGACCACAGAGTCAGGACCTCAGTTTTACATCTCATCCGAAGGACGGCTCCTTTTTACAGTATAGTGTCCTTGTCACTATGTGGCAATAGGACCCAGACAGACTGCAGGGTGAGAGCACCCTATGGCCCCACTAACACCTCTTCCAGCAGCAACCTTAGTTTTTCCCAGGAGGTCTCTCATCCAGGTACTGACCCAGCTCACACCTGCTGAGCTTCAGTGGGCTGCCAGTTGTGAGGTGTAGGTTGATATAGCTGCTGGTGCAGCTTCATTCTGTACCCTTAATTGTTTAATTGATGTCAGACTGCTTGACAATTTAAAAAGCAGTCTAATGAAGGAAAGGAGTGGAATTAACTGTGCTGTTATTTCACGTAATTGACCGCTGGAGACTGCTGGAGACTGGACTTGATGCAGGAATCCCAATTCCAAAGGAACTTCAGAGTCTTCTGTGGGATGCTGGATTAAGCTTTATGTCCCATTCAAGTCCCCATTAACCTAATGGCTGTAACCTACTGTGCCTGAAATTCATCAGTTTAAATAGTCCTCTTTAAATGAGACCATTTGAACAGGCAGCTGTTATTGTGCGCTGACTGCAAAGGAACAAGTAATGGTTAATTCCATCTGAAAAGCAGCATAAAAAAACAGTGTTTCAGCTGTTAAGCCTTGTATAGGTACGGATGAGATGGTGTAAACTATCAGAGAAAGAAGCACAGAAGAACAAAGGACAAACTAAGTGAGAGAGAGCATGCAGACAAAGACGGAGCTGGGGGAGAGGTGTGAAAAGCCGAAATCTGCAAATAGAGTGGATCTTTTTAAATTAATCTTTTTTTTTTTTTTTTTTTTGTTCCTCGGTCCCTTTGGTTCAGGTGAGCCAACAAAGCCACTCGTTTAGTAATGGGTTATGCCGGAATAATTTTGGAATCCTGTTGCCCTCTGGCAATAGTTGGACACCCCCGATCTCTCCCTCACCAGGGGGCTAATGTCTCCTTTTCTTCCCTTGCAGTACCTGGAGGAGTCGGGAGTGGGCTACGTGGTGAGCGGAGCAGGCAACTTCCTGGATAACTCCATGAAACACAAGAAGTCTGTGCCCGCTCACTCCCTCAAGTTCTTCTACGGTCAGCAGAGCTCCCTGGGTGGCTTTGCGCACGTGGAGGTCACCAAGAAGGACATGACCATCACCTTCATCCAGGCACGAGGGAAGTCCCTGTACCGCACTGTGCTTCCACGTCGCACCGCGCCCTAGAGCCAGGAAGACCACACTGCGTCTTTGACACCCTGCTGCCCAAGTCACACAGCTGAAGTTTTTTTAATTTTTTTTTCTTTGCTCAGTATACATGTTTTAAAAACCTCCATCCCTGAACCAAAGACAAGTGTGATGGGTCCATTGACCTTTATGCAAGTTCTGGATTTTAAAATAGGTTATTTTACACTGCAACTTTGTATTTTTACACATACAGAAACAAGATGGTAACTAGTCCTAAGCCATGCCTTTTATGTAGATGTATCCAATCATTACATTTTACCCTGCACAATATTTGCAAGGTTTATTCCTTCACCTCTGAAATGTCTTCAATTAACCACTTTCATTTCTGTAAGGTTAATCACATGAAACCAGTTGTGGCTTAAATGCTTTAATTATCCCTTTACTCAAGAAACAGATGTTAGTTGAAGACTATCGGTATAGATGGAAAGGGTCTGTCTAAAAAAAAAAAGAACTTTGAAGTTGATATTCTAGGTTTCTTGTTAGTTTCTGACTTACATTTTAGTAAGAAAATACACATTTGCAGTTCTGTGGTTGTGTTCCATGTTCTGTAAAACCTGCAACTTGATCTTATTTTGGCTACACCTGCATAAGCAAACAATTTCTCTAACTTTTTAACTGAAAAGTAAATAGAGTAGTTTGAGGTCTGTGCAATGTTTTACCCCTTAGGAACCAAGGTCATCTTCGGATTATGTTCAGTACTCAAGCGAATCACATTTTCTTCGCTCTGCATTCTCACGTGTGAAGCTGTCTACCTCTGAATCTTTGCCTGAACCCATTCATCTCGAGATCAGAAGCATTTTAGATCTGGTCTGGACTCTTAAGAGTTGAATGACTTTTAGTTTCAGTCTATAAAATATTAGATTCTTCTCAAATTTAACTTATTACACTGAAATTATTCCAGGCAACTGGTGATTATAAAAAGCTTATTTAGAGAAATGAGGGACTAAATGTGGCCAATAATGTAAAGGTATGATTTCTAGCTGATTCTGTAGTACAAAAGTATAACTAGCTAAGAAAATAAAATAACGAGATGGATTAAGAGATGTATTGTCTAAGACTAAAATGGATGTCTTGGTGAAAAGTTTCCTGAAAACATTATTAGAAATCTCTTAAAAGCTCTTTAAGCTCTTAAAAATCCACGGCTATTAATGTTAAATACATCAGTTTCTTTTACTTTGGAGCCTTTTACTTATTTTATTCCACTCAAATTGCCTTCTGCTATGTTGGTTTGATTAAAATTGGTTTTAAATGATTGAAATAAAGATACAATCATGTCTAAGTAAAAGGTTTGTTCCATGCTGAAAAGAGAAGAAAGGAAACGCAACGTTTCGGCCGAGGAGCCTTCTTAAGGTGTGACACCTGAAGAAGGCTCCATGGCTGAAATGTGTTTTCTTTCTTCTCTTTTCAGCATGGAATAAACCTATTACTTTTTCCTTTGCAGCCTACAATAATGTATGCCTTCTGGGGAAAAAAGTTTTGAATTAAGTAATTGTTTTATTTGGCAAGATTTGATTGTATTTACTTAAATAAAAATGTTTATAACCAGACAATTTGTGCCTGTCAGTTTGTTTTTGTTCTAGTTTTCTTTCAGTCGAATAAGATACACATTATTGATCCCGTGAGGGAAATTGGAGAAAATTGCAGAATAAGAGAGATCCAGTTTCAGACAGTATCAGCTGCCCATTTTGCATTACCAAGAGCACAATTTAATTAATTACTTACACTTATATAGCGCTTTCATATACACTCCACTCAAAGCACTTCACAGGTAATGGGGATCCCCTCCACCACCGCCACCAGTGTGCAGCTCCACCTGGATGATGTGACGGCAGCCATAGTGCACCAGTACGCTCACCACACACCAGCTATTAGTGGGGAGGAGGACAGAGCGATGAAGCCAATTTATAGATGGCGATTATTAGGAAGCCATGATAGGTAAGGGCCAATGGGAAATTTGGCCAGGACACTGGGGTTACACCCCTACTCTTTTTGAGAAACACCCTGGGATTTTTAATTACCACAGAGTCAAGTCCTCAGTTTTACATCCCATCCAAAAGGGCAGTGCCTTTTTACAGTAAAGTGTCCCTGTCAGGATAGTGGGGCATTAGGACCCACATGGGCCGCAGGGTGAGTGCTCCCTGCTGGCCCCACTAACACCTCTTCCAGCAGCAACCTTAGCTTTCCCAGGAAGTCTCCCATCCGGGTACAGACCAGGCTCACACCTGCTTAGCTTCAGTGGGCTGAAATTCCAGAGCTGCAATGCTGTCTGCATGGAGTTCTGTACTCCAGCTTCCTCTCACAGTCCAAAGATATGTTGGCATGTTAATTGGGTTCTGAGAAAATTGGCCCTGGTGTGAGTGTGTGTCAGTGTCTGTCTGCCCTGTGATGGACAGACATTCTGTCCAGGGTTTACCTTGCCTTGTACCCAGAGCTTGCTGGGATAGGCTCCTGCAACTCTGCAACCCTGAATTGGATGAAGCAGTTGGAAAATGGATGGATAAGGGGGATGTATTTTGTGCTATAAGATTTAACGGATCTAATCACTGGCTTAATTGGAGCAGTTGAACGGACGTTCCCAGCTCTTCAGGTGCTGTGGGAATGGAGCTCCCCCAGCTACGCACACAGGAGTAGTGCTGGGAACCTCTGTGACTGCAGGTCTTTAGGTCCTGTGAAGCCAGTACCTGCAGAGCTGGGAGACGCGTGAGCAGTTCAGCTGAAAACAAGCCCAGCTGGACTCAAAACCTGAAACACACTGCCCCCCGCAGGACCACCTTTGGAAATGCTAGGATCAGGCCAGATAACTTTGTAAACACCCTGTACAACAAAAGGGTAGGAGGTGAACATTAAAATAATGTAATGAACATGTTATACACAGGCCTGGATGGTGAATAATACTGTAGAATAATGGCACAGATTCTAATCCATTTTAAGATGTGTATAGCAGTAATTCATGGATTGGTAACACAGCCTGTTAAATTCTGCCATACTGCTCCAAGCAAACAGATGGAAACTTGAGAGTGCAGACTTTATGGTCAGAATGTTGTTTGCACTATTTCTCTCCATATAGAAAAGGAGGAAAATATGTTCCCAACTAACTGTGCACACACTAGGAAAACAGTCACTTGGTTTCGCTTAAAATTGTAGAGATGTAAATGAAATTGTAGTGTTATTTCATTACCTTGGGAAAGTGGGATTGTGTTTTCATAATATTTGTTTTCAAAGAGCTGGTTATGTATATAGAAATTATTTTCAGTGGATATTTCATAAAAAATATAATAATAAAATGTTCTCAGCTTACTTGAATGGTGAGGCATTCTCATATATCGGTTGATATTTAATTATTTTTATTCAGAAAATATTTTCGTATGCATTGTTTCGTGTGGCAGTGATTCAAATACAGGATATGAGTGAATCACAAGAAATATTGACTGTGCCACACTCAATATGGCGAGAAGAGACGCCTTAAACTTGACAGCATGCGCCTTTTAATCGTCACAGAAGGTATTACCGTATTTTATCTTCAATATGAGCATCCATCATTCATTACAAAACTTCAGGTGGGATATTTGTGTTTATTGTTATTGAAGCCGTACGTCGGTGTCAGTCATCAATGGTGTGTCGTTATCTTTACATCTGTCTTTTAATCTCTGAAAGTTGCATAGTTGAGTGGATTGCTAGGTACGTTTTAAGTGTTCTACGGGAAGTCAGATAAGCGGCACACTAAATTGCGTTTCTCTTTGGTAAAATATGGTACAACTCGATACGTCACTTCCCCTCCTTGCGGCTGACAGTATTTTCGGCATGGCTGACGGTCTGTTAGCGGAGTCGCTTCTTCAGCGGGTGGAGAAGGCAGACGGCGGCATAGACAGCCAGGATGTCGCGGCTAATCTCGGCGTGGAGCACCAGCTTGTGGTCGGGGCCGTGAAGAGCTTGCAGTCCCTTGGGGAGGTAAGAGGACGGGGTTTAAAAGCCTCCCAACTCGTTTCCCCCAGCGGAATGAATGGGAGAAAGTGATGCAATCCAGGCGTGTTTGTGTGAAAGCCGGTTTCAGGTCAGCACAAGTGAACGGGACTAGTTAGAGATACACGTTAGATATTTACTGCGTTTTTGTAAAAGATAGAAGAACTCATTCAGCATTGACACTTGCAGTACCTGTTTGCGGCCAATTCTGTCTCTGGGCCATCTCTGCACCATAAAGCATTGATTTCTAGCATAATTTGAAATGTCTTGATTTCTCTTTGTAATTATTAACAGTGGTGTGGAGCGGGAAATGGCATTCGTATAGCATGAATTGGATTATTAATAGCATGTTTCCCTTGTAGTATACAAATGTCTGGAAGTGCTGAGTCCAGCACGGGAAATGGCCAACTGCCACAGAAATGCCTGTGATACTTCAATCCTAAACACTCGTTAGGCAAAACCCTTTGGTTAGGCTGACGTTGGGAAGGCCTAGGATAGCTATCCATGAAAATCGAAAACAGCCAACACATTGTCCCTGTGAATTGTGGTTCTGGCCAAGAGACTGATATATTAAATAATAATATCAGTCGTTTGTTTGAACACATCTTGGTAAGTCTGAGATCAAGCAGCTGGGCATTTTGATACTTGGGTGCTGCTTAAAGCCTCTAAACCAGGGTTTCCCTGTCCAGGTCTTTCAGACTCCAGTATTGCCAGTTTTCTTTATAATTCCTGTTTGGTGCCATATTATTTACTAACTGGACCCATTTTAAATTGGGGTGGAAAAGAAAGGTTAAAAGGCTGAATCAGTCATGTGTTCAGTTAAATGACAACATCTAGCTGGATTGCAAACCATTTCATACTGGGAGCAGCGGGGGTCTGGACTGGAAAAGCCTTGCTCTAAATGTTCAGCCCTTAGAACAGTCCAACACTCAGTGTCTTCCTTCTGCTCTGCAGTAATATAGGGATGTAGGGATCTTGTTTATGAGCTGATGGTCTGACGAGGCCAGTCACATAGCCTTCAGGTAAACCTCTCTCCACGCTGGAACAGTGACCACAGACTTTGGCGTGTCTTCTTCCTCTCCTGAAGGTGATTTCCGCGGAGCAGCGCTCGTCCAAGCACTGGGAGCTGACGGAAGAGGGCAAGGAGATTGCCGGGGAGGGCAGCCATGAGGCGCGGGTGTTTGCTGCCATACCAACCGAGGGCATGCCCCAGAGTCAGCTCATGGTGAGCGGCGGGGCGTCTGCTGTGTGATGCCAGCCTTCGTACTGCCACTGTACCTCTGGTAGAGCTGCAGTGTTTCCAGATGGGTTTGGAAAAGGATCAGGGGCCAAACAAGATTCAATTTGTCCCCTTTATGATGCCAATTCCCCCGTCTGAAGGCACATGAAGTAATATCTCTGTGTAGACTGTTCTTTCTTAAAAACAAGACTAAGCTAATTAAGATTGGACTAAGGCAGTAGTTCTCAAACGTCTTGGACCAAATACCACTCCTGATCAAACCAAAGCATCCAAGTACCACCTACAAGTCATCTTCTCATAGGAACCCCAGAAAATCTCAATGACCAACATGAGTGCACATGCGCGCACACACTCACATACACATTTGTTTAGTCAAGCAAAGCAGATGTGAATTCATTGGTCGAGCCTTGATACAATTCAATAGAGTCTAACAGATTTTAAGTCGTCAGGCATTTTCTCTAATTCGTGCAACTACACCGCTGTGTCAGCTCTAGCACCGTCTGTAAAACTCTGATGCATTTTATCCAGTCGATGCCATTCTCTTTGATAAATTCATTCAAAAGCTGAAATATGTGCTCTCCTGTAGTTCCCGTTAGTAGTGGCTTACAGAAAGTCCTCATGGGACTTACCTTCAAACTCGTATAGAACGTAAACGTGCAAATTGGCCAAATCAACATTTATAGACTCATCTGATTGCAGTGAAAAGCATCTGCTCATCTTAACGCGCTCTATCAGCGTATATTTGACATCATCCACCATGTCAGTAATTCTATGAGTGACTGTGTCTTTCGGGGGGGCAGCAGGTCAAACTGTTTAGCAGCTTTTTCTCCACACGTAAGACGTGTCAGCTATTTTGCCAACGGTAAACAAATTTCTTCACAAGTAGTGTGGGGCTTACCTGCTTTAGCAATCCGTAAGCTTGCATTTTTCCCCATTTCCATTTTAGGAATTTGTCTCAGAAGTTAAAAGAAGTTTTTATTTCATGCGCATGGGAGTGAAACACAGAGACGCTCTGTGAATTTTTGTCAAATTAACCTAGAACAGTTAAATATTTTTCTGTTATCTATCACGCTTTCCTGTGCTTACAACATTGGCATTGTTCCAAAATCACGCACATTCTCCCACCTCCCTATTTGCTGGAGATAACTGTTTTTTCAATACAGTTGGTCACTTGCGTCTGAGCACGCATTCCTATAGAATGGTATAGAATTGCATTGTAGCACTTGTATACACTCAAGTATTAGTGCGCGCTATATCATAGTACGTAGGCTGCGTATTCGACACAAACTAATTTTATTAAAATAGAAAATATGAAAACCTGTCCCAATTGTTCAGTACACACAACAAAGTTCCAGGGTCATATGGCGTACCACAGTTTGAGAACCACTGGACTAAGGAATTATATTTCTCTTCACCCCTTCCAGATATAATGTAAAAAAGTTCTAAGAAAGTGTAGTTGGGTATTTAAAAGACAAAAGAAAACCCAGGCATGAAACATCACAGTGTTTACTTGTAACCCCTTTCAGCAGTAAGTAAAAGGTTAATAAAAGGGGAAACTGGAACAGGTTTGTGGATGTGCTGGACCTGGCGGAGGGTTCCCATAGTGCAGGATGGCTTCTGCATGCCGGCCCCAGATCTGGCAGCACGGCAGCTGATGGAGGGAAGGAGGGAACTCTTCCCAGCCGGAGGTGAGATCTCATGGATGACATTGTGCGTTTTCCTGTCTCTCTGCCCCCCCCTTCCGGAGTAGAAACTCCCCAGCGGGAAGGTGGGCTTCAGCAAGGCCATGTCCAACAAGTGGATCCGTCTGGACAAGAACGCCGAGGGAGGCCCCCGCATCTTCAGAGCGGTGAGTTGGGCATCGCCCCCTCTCCCAGCAGGAGTCTCCGGAGTCGGAGCGTGGGAGCTCCTCATTGCTCCAGATTCAGATAATAGTGGATGATATCGCCTGTAACGGCCGGCCTGCAGGGCGAGCCTCTAACTGCATGTGCAAAGAGCCTGGTTCTTTCTAAGGCTTTCTTCCGGATATATTTGATTCTTTTTCGCGAGACGCCTACCCTTAGGATGACAGTACCTTTGAACCTGAGGATAGAGCGAGTGTTAATTTTGCCCAGTAACACAACCAACTAGCTGAGTTGGCTCAAAGAAACTGCCTCATGTGAGCCTCAAAAGACCATCACTGTGCACCCCTATCCTGTATGGCATGCTGTGTTTGCAGGGATATGATGTCACACTACTAGATCACTTTATTGGCCATATACGATTTCTTGCATTAGGAATTTGTCTTTTCACATTCCCCAGCTTGCTCTCCATGAGACACACAGATAGGGAGAGAAGCTTGGGGTCAGAGCGCAGGGTCAGACATTTATATGGTGCACCTGGAGCAGCTGGGGTTAAGGTTAAGGGCCTTGCACAGGGGCCCAGCGGAGTAGGATTCCTCTGCCGGCCGCGGGATTTGAACCGACAACCTTCCAGCCACTGGTGCAGATCCTTAGCACAGAGCCACTAGTGACTGCTGTGACAGAAATCCCACAATTCCAATTTCTGGAAGCGAGCAGCACAGCTGCTTTAAATCCATGTGCTGCGGTTTGCTGGAGGTTATCAGAGATGTAATGGGCAGGTGTGTTGCCTGTCTCTCTCACATCTGTCGTCTGCTGAGGGAATCTGGGAATTCTGTCAGTGGTAGCTTTGCTCTTTGACTCACCTTTAGAGATGGCTTTTGTAGCCATGAAGGCTGTTTCATGGATTATTTTGCAATGATAGAATCGTACCTTGATATATGTAGTGATTATGTCAGTTCTCTATAACTGCAAAGTTAAAATGCAGAAGCTGGAGGACTGCTTGGGGTCTTGACTCCCTTACGGATGTACAGGAGAGTCCTGGTGTGAGAGGACTTGAAAATCCTTCCACTTTGCTCCTGGATGCCTTAATGGGAGAGATTCGGCCTCCGGGAAGGGGAGAGGCAGGGGGAATGACGTCCGTCTTTGCTGCCTGTGCTCAGGTGGAGAGTATTGAAGATGCCGTGCAGGAGCGCCTCCTGCTGGTGCAGCGGGGCCAGGCGGACAGGCTGGAGGAGAAGGAGAAGAATGAGCTCAAGAAGAGGAAGCTACTGATGGAAGTGTGAGTACTGGCCTCTCCTCGTTTGCGTCTGGAAAGCCCACAGGGCCCCCCACAGGAATGACTGCTCTAAGTGCTGTCACTATGCTAGATGTTCAGAGAAGTCCACCCCAATGGCTTAGCCTGCTCAAGCATCAGGTGTGAATGCTGCCACCTACTGGCGAGTATCTGTACAGCAGCACGAACAAGTGTTGTCCAAAGGTTTAACTCTGATGTGCCCTACCTCTTTTGAGCTCAAATTTAAATTGAAAGCTAAAACTTATTTCTAATGTGACTGAACGCCAGCATCAGGCAGCTAAACCATCTCTGTGAAGTTGCCCCCTTACAGACAGCGTGAACAATGAATCCCACCTCATTCGTTAGTGCTACGTTTGTGCTGTTTAAAGTAGCGTTTGTGCTGCTTTCATTTCCGAGATATAGCGCCTTGTTGTTTCAGGGGTTGTGAGGTTGTGAGGTCACTCAGCCCCCCCTTCAACGTCGTATGGAAACCAAACCTGTCTCATTCGTCAGTGCTACGTTTTTGCCGGTTTGTGCCATTGAAAGTAAGTTCCCAGCCGTTTTCGTTCCCGAGATATAGCGCCTTCTTTTCGTGTGATCATGCAAAACTGTTCTGATTAGGGTATGATATTGTTGGTAATTAATTTTCCTGTTCACACAAACACACAGAAGATACTATTATTAAAAGCAAATCAACCGCTTGAACTCGGCAGACGGGGTCACTGGAGGTCAAAGTCATCGTGCATGGTCACGTGATCACCCAAAAAAGAAGGTGCTGTATCTCGGGAACAAAAACAGCTGGGAACTTACTTTAAACGGCACAAACGTAGCACTAACGAATGAGACCGATTTGGTGTCCTTATGACATTGTAGGGGGTTGAGTGACGTCATGACCCCGTAAAAACAAGGCGCTTTATCTCAGAACATGAAAGCAGCACAAACGCTACTTTCAACAGCACAAACTGCTACAAATGTAGCACTAACGAATGAGGTGGGTTTCATCATTTGTGCTGTCTGTAGGGGTGCCAACTTCACAGAGCTAGTGAAACCCTGACAATAAGAATCTTAGTTCAGGTGGGTAGCTGCGTCAGCATGCGTAGGCTGCAAAGGAACAAGTAATAGGTTTATTCCATGCTGAAAAAAAGAAGAAAGAGAACAC